ACGCTTCCACGCACCACGGCTACGGCGCTCACACGCTCTCACTGCCCGACATTTCTTTCAAGGTGAAAACTGCGATTCTTTCCCGACTATAAAACACATACTCATTCCTAAAATTCAAAAAGTTCGTAATGGTGTGGAGACAAGAAGTCACCTCCCTCGAACCACTATGACCGCGCCCACCCCCGCAGACGCCCCTCGGCTCACACACCTGAGCGCGCAGGAGCCCGTTCCCTGTGCTCGCTCACCGCCACAGGACGCGCGCCAGGCCACACGGTGCTCTGGGAGCCACCGTTTCCACTCAGTACGAGGTCCAGAACATCTGTTCTTATCCACGGATGACTTTTTAAGTATGCGTTTTCACGTGCGATGTTTACTACGCATTCACAGTAATTGAACCTGTTTTCTCACCGTGGGCATGTGGGTGACCCATTTCCTCTCGCTGTGTCGGTTGTAACAGGCCCCGTGAACCTCCTTAGTCACGCGTCTGTGCTATCGTCCTTCGGCTCCTTAGGGCAGTTTCGAAAAGCAGAGCTGTCAGGACGCGGGAACACATGCCTCAGGCGGCCGCCCCTGTTCACACTGCCCAGAGTGGACGTGGCGCCCTCTCTCCACACCCTGGCCAGCACCAGGTTAGTCTACCATCTTTGCTGCCTAAAAGAGAAAGTTTCTAACACTTTGTGTGGTTTTATGTATTTCTCCGTGAAAAAAAAAAAAAAGGCAGATGTCATGTTCAGCATGCAACTGGCTTTTTCCTCCTGACAACCCTTTATGCCCTTCTCCACTTGCTCATCCGAAGGTCAGGTAAAAGACATCTGCCTGGGCCCAGAGCCTCCCAAAGCGCCCCCTCTGGAGGCCCACAGCTTCTACCCTTGCTGACACGTTATCCGTGGGTACACAGGCAGGCAGAGGACCAGAAAGGACAGACTATGAAGTCTGGGCATGGGGACCGCTCTGTAGAGGGCTGGCAGGAGGGCTCATCCTGCCTGCTCAGCACCTCCCACCTGCAGGGCTGCTTTACAGACCTGCAGGGAGGGCAGCGTCTCACCAAGCCCCGCTGCTGCCCGGGCGGTAACTTCCTGATTCGGGGCCACAGTCGCCACCCATCCACGCACACTGGTTGCTTCCCGCCGCCTCCACATCCCTGGAGCTGCCCGGGCCAGGCCAGGAGCCCTGGGCCAGCAGACTTCAGACCTCACAGCCTCGGCCAGGCAGGGGGAAGGCGCCAGGAGACTGGCGGACGGAGGCCCATCTGAGCGACCACACTCCCTCCTCCCAGAACCAGGCCCTGCCCAGAAAAAATCACGGCTCCATTTTTTAAGTTCAGAAAAACAGCTCTGAGCCCTGGCCAGGTAGCTCAGGTGGTTAGAACACTGTCCCTCTGGGTCAGGGCACACACAGGAATCAACCAATGACTGCAAATTAAGGGAAACAAAAAATTGTTTCTCTCTCTCTCTTTCTACTCTCCTCTTTTCCTCTCTAAGAAAAAAAAAAGTCAATAAAATGGTTGGTCTCTTTAAAACAATTTTTAAAAAATAACTTTGAGCCCTGGCTGGTGTGGCTTGGTGGACTGAGTGCCAGTCTGCGAACCAAAAAGTCGCAGGTTTGATTCTCAGTCAGGGCACCTGCCGGGGTTGCGGCCCAGTCCCCAGTAGGGGAATGCAAGGCAACCAATTGCTGTATCTCTCTCACATCGATGTTTCTCTCCCTGTCTTTCTCCCTCCCTTCCCTTCTCTCTAAAAATAAATCTTTAAAAAAATAAAGACAGAAAAATAACTTTGAGAACAAGGTTGCTGTAAGGCAGCAGAGCAGAGGGGCCCATGTGTGGCCTGCATTCAAATAAATACGGCGTCTGCCCTTTAAGGACAGTCTCGGCCAGGTGACAGTCTCTCAGAGCCTGTCCCCCTGGAAAGAGGGTATCGAGTCCCTGGAAGACCGGTGCACAGCATCATGGCCGAGCAGCACGAGGGCCACATATGCTTGGTGGCGAGTCCTGGTTCCTCCCCTCACTGTAGTCTCAGGTCACATCACCTCTTCTAACCTGTTTTACCACCTGTTCAATGGGAATAATTAGGATACCTAAGTATTACTTGGAGATTCAGATCAGGTATGTGACAGCACCTTGTGCTCAGAAACACCGACTACCCAGAAGGCGTTCTGTCCACGGCCAACCAAGACAGGCCTCTGGAGCGGGGCCTGAGCCCCGTGTGGGCCCTCCGTCTCTGGCCCAGTGGTGGGTGTTGAAGAAGTCTCTCCACCTCAGGCCCCAGTCCCAGGCATCAGAGTCCCCCTGGGGAAGGAGGGAGTCAAGGGGCGGTTGGGCTCTCAGAATGCTGAACTGTGGGGTGCCCCTGCTATGCGAATGTCATTGGCCCTCCACCAGTTTACAAAGGTGGGATCACCTCCAGTTTCCCAAGACTCTTCATCCCCCTCTGGCCTTGCCCACACTTCCTTTTTTGCCACTTCAGTTTCATTCTCCGAAAAGCCAGTCCCACCCGGCGCCGCCACCCCGTGGAGCACCTCACTCGGGGGTCTCCAATCCCAGCTGGGGGCTCTGTTGGTGGTTTGTCAGCCCCTCTTACACTTCCCAGTTTTAGCCTGACGGGTTTCTGTTCCACAGGGTGATCTCGATGCTCCCTGAATATACCGAAGACACCGCAGGCTCAAATCTATTCGTGGGGCTCCATTTATTTAAGGTATAGTTCAACCATCAAAACTCATCTTTAAACAGTCCCAGACATCATTTGCCTCAGAGAACTTCGGTGAGGGGCCAGCTCTTACCCCACCAGGACACCTGTCACCCCACTTCTCCCCTTCCCGGCTCTCAAGGTCTCACACTCCGGCCACGTCGGAGGCTCTGTCCGCTGGTCTCTGTCTCCCAGGCCTCAGCCTGGCCCCCTCCCCCTCGTCCCAGGCCCTGGCCGCACAGGCCCGTGCAGCCTTATTAGCCTCCAGGCAGATTTCTCCCTGTTCTTCCCACCGCCCCGACTCTCCGCCAGGGAGGAGCACCCAGGAGCTGACCAAGGAAGCACAACACTCCCTTTCCTTGTAGCGCTCCGGGCCTGGCTCTCCCGTTCTCCAGGTGCTGCATTGCACCAAGCTGGAGGCAAAGCCAAAGCCAAAGCCAGAGCCTGGGGAAGGGGAGGCATGTGGCTGGCCAAGGACAGATACCATTCCTGGTGGCAGAGCATGGGGAAGAGCGGGCACTCCGTCACATCTTGTTCCTTTGTCCCCACTTCCCATCCCTGTGACTGGAATCAGCAACCACCCCCTCTCCTTGCTGAGTAGCCTCCTTAGGAATTCAGGGCCATCTCTCTTGAGTCTGTGGGACAACGGAGCAGACCCAGGCCATTTGGGGCTAGGAACAGGGAGCAGAACAGCGGGAGACACCCCTGAGAGCAAACCCTGCCCCGGTGAAGGGCGGTTTGTTCTAGGAGGTGTCTGGTCTCCCCCACACTGGAGGAAAACAGAAGGCGCACATTCCCGGCATCTCCGTGCTGGACTGTGGAGCTGCGGGAGCAAATAGGAAGCGTGCGTTCTCGGGCACTGCCTGGGTCTCCCTGATGCAGGAGCAGCTTCCTGCAGGTGGAACCAGCGGTTTGAAAAAAAAATCTGGTCACCTTCCAAACACCTCCAGCCCTGGATTCCAGATCCTTCCTACAGAGCTGGGGGAGGGCCTGGGTGTGACCCGAAGATTCAGGCCCAGGTGCCCCCTGCTTCTGAGTGCAGCCCCCAAACCCCCCCGGCTGGCAGAACGGAGATGAGAGAGCCATTAGGGGACACCTCTGCTGGGTCCCGGGGTCGGGGGAGGGCAGGAGGGTCCTGCTTCCGCTGCCTGGACAAGCAGAGCCACTTCTGCCCCAAGCAAATCAATTCAAAGCTTGGCCAAGCCTGTTTGAGTTGGTGAGAGCCCAAGTGGGAATTCCAGCCTACCAGTGTTTGCTCTACAGGCGAGCAGAGCCAAGCAGAAATGCTGCTTTGAGAGTTTGCGCCAAATATCCGCCAGCTCGTTCTGCCAGCCGTGTTGGGCCAGCCCTCCACACGTCACCCTCTCACAGTTCTCTGTTCCGTGACAGCCTTCTGCCTGTGCCCTTAGAAACAGCTTGCCACAGGCCAGTGGCCCAGGCACGAGGCTTCCCTGCTGGGCCTGGAACCCAGACCTCCCACCCGGGTCTTTCTTGCTGGCCACAGGCCCTGCACCAGCCCCACCCCCCACAGGTTCCTGACCTCTGCTCCCTGCTCTCAGCTCCTGACCCTCCTCCAGCCACCTTGACATTGGCCCTGCCCCTCTCAGCCCCTGGCTGGCACAGCCCACTCTGCAGCTGGCCGCCAAGCAGCGGCAGAGCTGACAGCCAGAAAGCACACACCGCTAAGTCGACCACATCTTGTTTCACACCATTCTATCCGATCCTTAGGGATTTATCAGCCCACTTCTCGGAGCAGACAGACGAGGTTTCCGGGGCCTGGACGCCTTGCCCACGGTCACTGATGAAGGAATCCCGGTCTCCTGACTCGGAAACCAGGGTTCTTTCTAACTCCCTGAGGCAAGTTTTAAATCTTTCGCTCGCTCCCAGATCCCTGGGGCAGTTCCCAGGGCTCCGGCGAGAGCAGCTGATGTGTTCTCGTGTTCCCAAGAGCAAGGCTGGCACAGCAGCTGCAAGCCCTTGGCCACCTCTGTCTGCTGCGTCCCTGAGCCAAGTGGGGCCTCTGCCGGAGGCCTGGCTGCCCTGCTGACTGTGCTCACCCACCCCAGCACCCCTGGGAGCCCCAGCCAGCACAGTGAGGCACTGAACACATGGGACCCCACACCTTTCCCCCTGCCACGAAGGGCAGGGGACCCTGCTTCCTTCAGGCCCTGCTCCCGGGCAGAGGCACAGCGCCCTCCCCACCCCCAGGGGCAGCCAGGTTCCACTCCCTGCCCTCAGAGGTCTCCCCCACAGCAGGGCAACAGGCCTCACTCTCTAGAGCAGCCCTGGGCACCGCTCACAAATTCTCAGTCTGGTCCTGAGAGGTGAACGCCCGCAAATGGACACGATGTGAGTACCTAGCAGATGCGCGCTCCCTGCACTCAAACAGGCATTGTCGCCTCCTCAGGAGACTTCCTCATCCAGTCTCACTGGATCTCCTTCTCCCCTACTCAACTGTGGGCCTCTCTTCACAGAATCCTGGTACCCAACACAGCTCAGTAAATGGTAGTCAATACAGAAGTGAAACCACAAATATAGGTTTCTACCTGCCCTTGTCCTGTGGCCTCAGGGGTGCTATCGCCCAGGCCCGGAACCCACGGGCTCACCCACGCCACCCTCGTGTCCACCCGCTCTCGACTCAACCCCATGTATCTTCTGCTGACCTGACTCCCCAGTGTGGGTCCTGGGTCTTTCTGCACTTGGCTGCTCCCAGAACCCACCCCCTTCTGTCTGAGATGTCACTGCCAAGGTGACAGGCCTCAGTACTCCCCAGCCATGGAGCAGAGGGGAAACAACCAGACCTCTGGTCTGGCCAGTTGGGGGCAAGGGGTACCAGCCCCCTGGCCCACCTGGGCCTTCGAATGGCTCCATCATGGCTGGACCAGCGGGCCCCAGGGCCCGGGCAGCTCTGGCAGTCACCTGGCTAGGAATGTTGCAGAAAAGCCCACCTTTTCGGTGAAGAGTCCTAACCGACCATAAGAGGGGAAGCAGCCCAAAGTGCCTGAAGCTAGCCAGCCAGACCAGCCTACCCCGAGCTCCATGCCCACACAACAGAGCCCTGCCAGTCACTGCCACCCCCTCGGAGCACCACGGCCTCTGCGAGCCTGGGAGAAAGCAGGGGCGACTTCCAAAGAGGGTACCCAGGGCAGTGGGCCCAGAGAGAGAGATGTAGCTCTGCCAGGTGTGGGGATGACCCGGAGGTGAGCGCTGCAGAGGTTCCAAGAGGGAAGTAGGTCACACCAGCTTGAAGGAGCCACACACTTGTAGGGGGCTGCTAGGTCTGGGCCCTTCTGGGTCCGGGGTCCTCAGACAGCTTCCCCAGGAACACAGCAGGTCCCTGCACTGGGTCAAGGGAGGAGAGGTCCAGTGTGGCCTCTGGGTGTACCCCCTGGCCAGGACGAGTCTTGAGCCTCCTCCTGCCCACCCCAGAGATCTAGCTGCATTGTGAGGTGGGGGTGTTGGGGAATCGGGCACCATGGGCACCTGCCCAGACCCAGCCCTCAGGGTGGGGAAGTGACGTGACGCAGCAACAATGCAGAGGCCAGCCCAGAAAGCCCGTGTTTACTGGGGCCTCTCACAGGCTGAGGCCCTCTGGGCCTGGGCGCCCACACCAAGCTACGTGTCATCCGCCTTTTCTGAGGAGTGGGACTGCTTCTTCTGCGGCAAGTCTTCAAGCATCAGGCCCAGCACGTGCACGATCTCGTAGTACAGCTCTTGGAGCCTGGAAGCAGGGCAGGAGAGGGGGCCGGAGCTGACAGGGCCGGGCTCTGCTCCACCCAGGCCCCACCCATCGCACCAAGGCGGCCACCACACCCAGCAGGCGTGGGGTCAAGAAAGAGGAGGGACCTCAGAGCCCAGTCGGGCTGCACTGGAACCCGGGTCTGCCATTCCACCTGTGGCCCCTGGAGTTATTGTATCATGTGAGGCAAGGTAGAGACAACACAGTCCTGGGCTCTGCATGAGGTGACCAGGCGGAGATGACAGACACCACCTGGTCCCGTCTGGGCCCAGAGGAAATGCTCCCTGAGGCCCCCTTGTAGTTCCTCCGGTCCACGAAGCCCTCCAGGAGACTGCTGTTCAGAAACCAGGCTAATCGAGTCCTTCCTCGTTCCAAGAGCCCACTGTGGCTCCATAGGGCCACACTCAGGTCCCTTTTCCACAGTAATAGCCAGGTACCACCCCGGCTAACTTTGCCGAGCACAGCCCTGGGCCAGGCCAAACTCACAATTTCACAGAATCAGCCCCACAGCCCCTCACGTGACAAGCGGGAAAGGGGCGGGGATGGGCCTGAGTCCTGGAGGAAGGCAGTGGCAGAACCAGGCCAGGGGCCTCAGCTCTTGACTCACCAGCCATGCTCTTCCCTCTGCCCCTGGAAAGGGGTCAGTGAGGGCAGGCCGGAAAGTCAAAGGAGCCACATTTGAATACAGTCCAGGGCCGGCTGGGGCGGGGCAGGGGGGCAGAGTCACCCCATCCTGGGCCTGTCCACGCCTCAGCCCAGCCCTGTGCATACACGGGACCCTCACACCCAAGAAGGGCCTCGGTCCACCCAACCTGCTCATCGGCCATTGTACCCCCTACTGTCCCGGGACCAGATGTGGCCCTGCCTCAAGGAAGCAGGGGGCCCGGAAGTGCCTGGTCTCCTTGGGCCAGGTCAGCGGGGCCGGGACTGACTTGTAGATTGTGGTGTCCTGGTTGTCCAGGGTGGATAAGTAGACATCGATGAAGGGCAGGCTAGTGCCAAAATCGTCCAAGACCATGGGGTCAGTGTGCCGCAGGGTCCTCCTGAAGTTCTCCACCAGCTCAGTGAAACTTCTGTAGTCAACGTTTTTCTAGAGAGGGCAGCATGAAGAGATCAACGATAAGGAAGGGGTGACATCCGAGACGCACAGAGGCCTGGGGACCCTCCACAGGAGCCCCAGCAGCGCTGACCCTGACCCCAGGATGAATCCTGAGCCTCGCCCCAGTCACCCAGCCCCTCCCGAGCCAGGACCCCCTGACAGAGGTAGCCTCATGAGCCACCGTCACTGAGGTGAGGACAGGTGACACAGGAAGGAAACTGTGGGAGCCTGAGTGTGGCACAGCATGGTCTCACCTGCCCTGAGCAAACCTTAAAACACAGCCGAGAAAGGCAGATGACTCTGCCTCAGGGAAGAGGCTGAGGAGGGAAGCGCTGATGACGTGGGAGAGGAAGGGGCAGCAGTTCCAAACCTGGCAGGGCATGCGGGGCTCAGCGTGGGGAGCTCACAGCCCAGCCTTACAGCCGTACCGTGCCCGACACTCTCCAGCCTGTTGTGCTCTTCGTGTTCAATGTAGAAAAACCGAGCTTCACACCACCTCTGAATGGCCTCACCCACTCAGAGGGTGGGCGCCCGGGGCCTGCTGGGAGCCCAGTGAGCCCTCAGTAACAAGAGCACAGCAGGCAGAGGGCCCAGCAGCGCAGCTCGGCCCAGGAAGGAGGGAGAGGTTACAATCATGGCATTCCACATGCTCGCAGGGCCGGAGAAATACAGAAGTGCCGAGAACGAAGCCTGCCCTCCCTGCAGGCCTCAAGGCTCCTCTTCCTGGCCATTCACCCAGCCCCACTGCCATGCAGCTGTGTGTCTGCCGCCAGGGGAGGCCGCGCACCTGCATCTGCATCAGCCTGCTGACCTCCTCCTGCTGCCGCTTCAAGATCACCTGCTTCTCCTTCAGGAGCGTCAGGTGCCTCTCCAGCATCAGCTCCCGCTCAAACTTTTTAATGGAGTCCTGGAGAGTGGGGCCAGAGGTGAGGCGAGGGCTCTCCCTGCACACCCACCTCCAGACTTTCTTGCTACCTAGCCTTGCACTGCGGCTCGGACCCCTCAGCAGGAGGACCCCAACTCAAGCTGCCAGTGCAGCTGCAGTGACTTCCCAAGCCCATGTCCTGCTGGCCACCACCATGAGGCAGGGAAACGCACTGGCTCAGGGAGAAGAGTAGGGCTGGGTAGAGAGGGCCCCCTGGGCCACCGCCCCTCCACTTTAGGAGAGGGCTGGCTCAGGGTCCTCCCTGAAGACTTGGGCCCACACCTGAGCCTGCCTGCCACACCTGAGCCAACGCCCAGTCCGTACACATACAGCCTCACCTCAGTGTGGATGATCATCACACCCACGAACATGCTGAGGAAGATGAAGGAGGCAATCAAGATGAAGGTGATAGTGAACGCTCGGCTCAGCATGAAATTCCGGTTGTCCAGCTTCTCCTGCAGGTCTGTCCAGCCGTCGACCTGCTCGGGCGAGGGAGGGCATGCCGAGTGCCAAGGCCCAGCGGGGTGGGCTTCCCGCTCACCTACCTTATGGAGGCCTCGCCCTGCTAGAAGGAAGTTGGTTCTGCCCCCATACAAGCCCCTCGGAAGTCCCCAATCCACTGACTCCAGTGCATCCTGGTGGCCTGGGGGCGCAGGGCACCACTGGGTGGGGGCGCTTCTGGCCAAGGCTCCCAGAGGCTCTTCTCCTAAAGGCTTCCCATCCTTTCCCAAAAGACTCTGCCGCTCTGCCAGGAAACTCCTTGGGAAAGACTCCAGTCTTTCCAGAGCCCAACAGAGTCTAGACTTCTGGACTCAGGCTTTGCAGGCTTATTCTGGGTGGGCCTGTGTGGTTTAGTCCGTTCCAAAAGGCTAAGTGACATGGGCTTCACTTCTAAATTAAACTTAATCCAAGTGAATCATCTTTTGCGAACGCTGTGACATTTTCACAGCTCTGTGAGACAAATGGGAACGCTCCAGGGAGTGATAAGATTAGAGATAGAGATGGACCCCTGGCCGGAGCACTCACTGCTGCCTCAGTTTCCCCGCCCAGCGAGGTATCTGAACATGGGGAAGGCCCCCACGGGAAGCCCAAGTGTCCACACACCCGCACCTGCTGGTGGTCCCTTCCCAAGGACCCCACCACCACTGCTCCCGGACACAGTACCGTCGCCAAGCTAAAGAGGGTGAAGAAGGCCCCAGCCAGGTTCTCCCAGTTGTTCAGGTCGCCCCCTTCGGGACCTCCAAACAGGCAGAAGCCCAGGACGGCAAAGATGTACATCAGGATGAAGAACAGGACGAGCACGGAGGCCACGGTGTAGGCTGTCTGCCCGATGGCGGTGATGAGCGTCTGCAAGGCAGAGGCGCTGGGCTAGGCCAGGCTGCCGCGAGGGTGGGGCGCAGGGGACAGGGTCCAGCCCGCCCAGCCCACGGCTGTCCCCAGCATCCAGTGCCCTGCCTGCCCACAAATGGTTGGACGGAGAGATGGAAGGAGGGAAGGGAACCCTGCCCAGATCGAGGGCCAGTCCAGTCCCACAAGCCCAATGCCTGGCCCCCACCTTCTGTCGTCTGTAGCCACACTGTGTGTGCTGTCTCAGGTCTGGGGGAGCCTCCCCATCAGCACCACAAACTGTTCCATTCGAACCCGTCTGGCCTCATGCTCATGCCAAGGTAGCCTGCTCCTGCTTCCCACCGAGGCCCAGCCCTGGGTGCCCTTCCAGGACTAAGAGGAAGAGGGGAGCCGCCCAGGGAGGGGGAAGGAAGAGGCTGAGAGGATCGTGGCTTCCCGTCCTTCCTGGGCCCCCCTTCACAGGCAGGTCTCTGTCCTGTGACCTCAGCCTGACCTCCTGCCACACTGCCCAGAGCTAGGGAGCACTCCGCAGGGCTCTTCATCGTTCATGCTTCAGGACCCGGGGCCCTGCATGTAATTAGTAGGTGCTCCATACACGCTCACCTGCCTAGACGCTGTCACAGGCATCGTGTCAAGGTAGGTAGGGGTTATCAATCTTCGCATTGCAAGACTAGGGAGCAGAGGCTCCGAGAAGAGCATGGCTCGGCCAGGCCCACACCCACGGCACAATGGGGCCCAGCTCTCCAGCCCTTTGCCTCATGCCGCCACCTTCAGCCACTGAGGCCCCTTTTTCTAAGCCAGGAAACTGTCAATTAGCTTAATGCTAGGAAAGGAGGGGCCTGACAGAGAGAGCTGGGACACAGAAGGGTGACGTCTAGGCAGTTAGGGGTAATGCAGGAAGCAGAGAGACCACGCGGGAGCACCAGGGCTGCCCTGCACGGGTGCTGGCTGGGCAGCTGCCTGATGGCTGAATGCATCTCAGGTGCCTCCCTCCTGGCTCAGAGGAGGAAGAACATCAGGGCTTTGAGATTCATTCTGAAAGAGCTGAGATATGAAAAATGGCCTCCTTCCCTGTGAGCCAGAGACAGAACTTCTTTCCCAAGAGCTATCGCAACTGAAGAGGTGAGTTGGCAGAGCAATGCACAGGGCACGTCTGCAGGTGAGGTCTGCCCAGGTGGGGAAGGGGGCGCACAGAGTGGCAGAAGCTGAAGCACTGGGAAAAGGAGGAGAGGACCCGGCTGGGTCTCCCACCTCCAGGCCAGCTGCCTGAGGTCAAGGCCAAGCAGCTTTAAGGACGGCCTTAGAGAAAAGGTCACACTCACTGGAAGCCTCCATGGGACTGACACCTGACAACAGCTTTGGCTGTGTTCTTCGAGCACAACCAGGCAGGACCTATTGGTCCACAACCCGGAATGTGCAGCAGCGTGGTCCCCAGGCGCTGGCCCAGATCCCCAAGGCCTGCAGTTTCTTCCTCAAGGAAGCCCCAGGCTGTGAGGTCTACAGCCTAGCCCCCAGTAAGTTCCTGACTTTGAATTCCCAAATTCTTTAAGGAAACAATACCTAGCCTTCCTGGGCTCTGGGTCAAGCCCTGGGGCATTCTGGGTATGAAGAGGACCTCCAGGCAGGGTCCATGACCAACCCGGCTGCTCTGATGTGGGGAAAGTGATAAGCCCCAAGGAGGAGGCAGGGAGGAAGGTGAGGCTGATGCTCCCCTCACAGCCCAACTTCTGAAGGTTGTTCTTTGGACCGAAATGCAGAGAAACGGGCAGTGTGGCCCTTGGGTGCCCAGCTAATAGAACTTCTCTCTGTAGAAAACAAGAAACTCTTCCCTCATGGTGCAAGTTTACTACCATAAGGTGGAAGGCAGAGCACCGTTTTGACTCATCAGGGGACAGAGGCTAAGAATGTGCGGAAGCGCCAGCTCTGGGCATGGAGGCTGTGGCTCTGTTAAAGCCTCATTCAGACGCCAATGAATATAAATAGCAGAGCTGCAGGTCTCCACCTTTGGTGCCTGCAGCTCCCCTGGCCAGCTGGCCAGGCCAGTGTAGCCAGGGCACACACTTTAGAGTCACTTCTAAACCCCTGAGGACCTGCAGTCGAGTAATATCCCCAAGGTCACAGAAGAACCACAGCCAGGGAGCCTGGTGATCCCCAGGTTCGGGTACAAGACTCTGCTAAATAACGGAAAACCCAAGGTCAAACACGGGCCGTATGTCAGTGCGTACGTTGTGCCTGCGTGCCCACAGGTCTCTGCGCAAGTCTGCGGGGGCCAAGGCTGAGAAGAAGCCTGCAGTCACCAAGCAAGCCAGGCTGAGCTCTGCGATAAACCTCGGCCAGTGGGGCGGGCTGTGCTCCCTGCACTGGATCCCTGGGCTCAAAGGATGGCCTGTCCCTGCCAGGACCTAAGCCCCAGGCAGCCTCAGGCTTCGCCTCAGACCAGGCTGTCAGAACAAGGCCCAGACAACGTACTCAGCAGGCAGCTGGTGCCCTCAGCCTCTCCAGGTGCCAATACAGGTCAGTGCCCTGGCCCCCAACCCCCAAGACAGAAGTCCCTACTGCCCCAGTCCTTTCTGCTGCCCTCCTCTCGCAGCCCAGTGCTACCGCCTGCTTCCTCTTGTGACTTTGCAGGTCTCTGGCTCCTTCCTTCCATGGCGATCCCTCTCTTGCCTGAGGGAGGCTGCCCATCCCCCACAGGCCTGACTCAGGAAGCTGTCTGCTGCCTCTTCCTCGGAGCCCCGACCCCCGTGGACAAAGGCCCTACTTCTGGGCAGAGCCGACCTTCCAGCTTCCCCCGCACCTAGTGTCTCAGAATCTGTCAGGCCCCACCCCGCCCTGCTGTCATCCTGGGGGCCTTCAGCCTCCCGCCACCCCCAGGCCTCCTCGTCCCTGACTTCTTCAACCCCGGCGACCCTTGAGCCATGTGAGGCCCCTCCTCCCTTGGTGCCCAACACCTGGAAAAACCAGGCCTCACTTCCCACTGTCTGATCCCTCCTCACTCTGAGGTGCCCACCGCCTGGCACTGACTCCCCAGGGGCCTCCGGTTTTCTCTCCTGGCCACCTGCCTTACTCTCGAACCTACCTGACATTGACTCCAACGCCCAGCACCTCAGACACTGCTTTCCCACTCCTAGGTCACACTCCAGGGTCTGTCTCTAGCCCACAAACAAGGGGATCCAAGCTCAGGTCTCAAAAGGAAGGGTGTCGTGATTTCATGTACATCTTGGAGATTCCCCCAACTGCTGGGGCATTTTGATCCCAGAACTCCCAGTGGTGTGGGAAGCCACGGCAGGAGTCGTGGTAAAGGTCGGGGGTGGGAAGTGATGGCTATGGGAATGAAAAGAAGTGGACACTCGGTAACTATGTAGGAAGCCATGCAACAGGACCCTGGGAGAGAGCAGTCAAAGCTAACACTCCAATGTATTACTTGGAAGGTGAATTGGGTCAGGGGAGTGCCTTTCAGCAAAAGACAAAACACAGGAGGAGGAGTCAGGGTTTGGGGATGAGAGTCGGGGGGCAGGGGGGGTGGGCAAGCGACGACTTCCAGCTGAGACATGCTGAGTTTGAGGAGCAGGAGGCAGTTGGGTATGAAGGTCAAAGAAAGAGGCATGGGAAGGTGAAAACTCCCAAAAAGTAGAAAAGATCACCCAAAGAGAATATGCGGAGAAGAGAACTCAAGACAGTTCTGAGAAAACAACAATTAGAGTCAGGCAAAGAAACATGTAGCCCAGAAGTCATGCCCAAGAGACGGAGGCAAACCCAGAGAGAGCAGTGATATAAGGGAAACGGCCAGTGGGCTTAGTGACAAGGAGGTTGCTGGCAACCTCAGAGGGACTAGTAACCTGGAGTGGAGGGAAGGAGCCAGGGTGTAAATGACAGATAAGGAAGTGGGGGCCAGGAGTGCAGACCCCTCTTTCCAAAGCCTCGCCACAGGGAGGAGGCGTCGGCTGGACTACATTGTGTGGGAGGGGACACACACTGCGTGACTACATGAAGGAGAGGAATGAATGAAGGGAGCTTTGTGGCAGGGGGAGTCCTTCCACATGGTCCTTATCTTCTCCCCCTGGGACCGGGGCTCCCCGTGTGTCAGTTCTAGGCCCTAGACAGATGCCAGGCCAGGCCAGGAGCAATCTCAGCCGAATAGGCTAGCATGCTCTCACTGGTCAAACAGGTCCAAACCAGCCCCTTCCTACAGAAGCATGGACACACAGGGTGCAGAGCCAGGCCAAGCATCCTGCACCCAGGCTGATGCCTACGAGCATGTGGGTCAGCTCTGAGAACTGAGGAAAGGCCAGTCACTGCACGACTTCTCAGCAGGAGCCGCACTTCCAGAGCAACGAGACTGTTCCCATCATGAGCAGCAGCAGATTTCTAGCTGTTTGGGGAAAGCAGTAAGGAGCCCGGGCTACTAGAAAACTGGACTCCCCCTGCGCACGGTGTTTGAAGAGTCTGTGCCTAAGAAAACGGTGCACTTTGCGGTATGGCAGAGAGGAAAAGCTCAGGTGACTCTAGAGTCAGACACGCCTTTCAGATCTCAGCTCTGGCTTCTCATTGCTGAGTGACTTTGGGTCTCAATTTCTTCATCTGTAATATAGAGCTAATAATACCTTTCCTACCACTGCTGTAAGATTAAATGAAATAATATCAGTAAAGATCAACCTGCCGTACAGTAGGACTCACCGGCTGGATGATAGTAGTACAGTTATTATTTCATCAGGGGCTGCTGAGCAGACAGGCCCTGACCCCTGCACTCTCAGACCCACAGCACCCCAGGTGACTCACCCGGATGCCACGGCTATAGGTGATGAGCTTGAGGATGCGCAGGGACTGGATGCCATCAGCAATGTTGAGGTAGGGATAGTGCTTGCCCTTGACCTTGCGGAGATAGTAGGGGATCGAGAGAGTGATGATAATCACCACATCTAGCAGGTTGTAGCCATCCTTCCAGTAGTTGATGGGGTCCACGTAAACCTTCATGTAGAACTCAACGCTATACATGGTCACAAAGATCATCTCCAAGATCTGCAAGGGTGACAAGGTTTGTAGGATTAGACATATATATATTTTAGAGAGAGGAAGGGAGGGAGGCAGGGTAAGGGGGGGAGAGAGAGAGACATGGTTTTGTCGTTCCACTTATTTATGCATTCATAGGTTGATTCTTTTATGTGCCCTGACTTGGGCTTGAACCTGCAACCTTGGTGTATCAGGGTGACACTCTAGGCAACTTAGCTTCCTGGCCAGGGCCTCTAAATACTTTTCTATGATTGCTGACCAAGATGGAGGTATATGTAGGTACGCTTTGCCTCTTTGCACAACCAAAAGAAGGACAACAACAAATTTAAAAACAAAACAACCAGAACTGACAGAAAATCAAACTGTATGGAAATCCAACAACCAAGGAGTTAAAGAAGAAACATTCATTCAAACAGGTAGGAGGGGCGGACATGGGCAGCCTGGGTGGAGAGGACTTGAGGCAAAGCGGCACCTGGCAGAGTGGGCAGTCCCACATATGTGTGCAGACAAACCGAGCAGAACAACTGGGGAATGAGACACAGTGCAACCCAGGGTTCCAGAACAGGGAAACAAAGCCTCAAAACCTCTGACTGATAAAACCTGTGGGGGTTGCAGTGGCAGGAGAAACTCCCAGCCTCACAGGAGAGTTCATTGGAGAGACACACAGAGTCCTATAACATACACAAACCAACCAACGGAGAATCAGCACCAGAAGGGCCCAATTTGCCTGTGGGAAGCCATAGAAGTGACTGAAAGCCAGCAGAGAGCTAAACAAGTGGCATTGTTCCCTCTCGGACCCCTCCCCCACATATGGCACCGCAACACAGTAATGTGGGTTGCCCGACCCTGGCAAATACCTAAGGCTCCACCCCTTACTACATAACAGGTGCACCAAAACCAAAAAAAAAAAAAAAAACATGGCCCAAATTAAAGAACAGATGAAAGCTCCAGAAAAAAATACAACTAAGCAACGGAAAAACAGCCAACCTATCAGATGCAGAGTTCAAAATACTGGTAATCAGGATGCTCACAGAATTGGTTGAGTATGGTCACAAAACAGGGCAAAAGTGAAGGCTATGAAAAGTGAAATAAAGGGAAATGTATAAGAAATCAACAGTGAAGGGAAGGAAACTGGGACTCAAATCAACAATTTGGACCAGAAGGAAGAAATAAACATTCAACTACAACAGAACGAAGAAACAAGAATTCAGAAAAATGAGGAGAGGCCTAGGAACCTCTGGAATAACTTCAAATGTTCCAACATCCAAATTATAGGGGTGCCAGGAGAAGAGAGCAAGATGTTGAAAACTTATTTGAAAAAATAATGAAGGAAAACTTCCCCAATCGGGCAAAGGAAATAGACTTTCAGGAAGTCCAGAAAGCCCAGAGAGTCCCAAAGAGGTTGAACCCAAGGAAGCACACACCAAGGCACATCATAATTACATTACCCAAGATTAAAGATAAGGAGAGAATCTTAAAAGCAGCAAGAGATAAGGAGACAGTTACTTACAAAGGAGTTCCCATAAGACTGTCAGCTGATTTCTCAAAAGAAACCTTGCAGGCAAGAAGGGGCTAGAAAGAAGTATTCCAAGTCATGAAAGGCAAGGACCTACATCCAAGATTACTCTACCCAACAAAGCTATCATTTAGAATGGAAGGGCAGATAAAGTGCTTCCCAGATAAGGCCAAGTTAAAGGAGTTCATCATCACCAAGTTCTTATTATATGAAATGTTAAAGGGATTTATCTGAGAAAAAGATCAAAGTTACGAACAGCAAAATGACAACAAACTCACAACTATCAACAACCAAACCTAAAAAAACAAAAACAAAAACAAAAATAAACTGAGCAAACTAGAACAGGGACACATTCACAGAACTAGAAATCACATGGAGGGTTGTCAGTGAGGAGGGGGAGGGGGAAGAATGGGGGGAAGGTACAGGGAATAAGCATAAGTGGTAGGTACAAAATAGACAGGGGGAGGTTAAGAATAATGTGGGAAATGGAGAAGCCAAAGAACTTACATGTATGACCCATGGACATGAACTAAGGTGGGAAAATGCTAATGGGAGAGGGTACAAGGTAGAGGGAAATAAAGGGGAGAAAAAAATGGGACAACTTTAATAACATAATCAATAAAATATATTTTAAAACTTTTTAATATTTTGTTATTAGAAGTGTTATCTTTTTTGTTGCTGATTTATTAAATATATTTAAATTTATTTATTAATCATATATCCAGCAAACTTGCTGGGCTTTTTATATATTACCTTTATTAATAATTCTTTCAGGTTCTTTTGGAATTTCTATGCAAAAATCACATCACCTGTGAATAATGAGTAATTTTCTTCACTTTCTAATCCCAAATGCTTTTTATTTCTTTTTCCTGTATTATATATTAGCTAAGACTCTAATACAAATTTTAGCAATAATAACTGGAATACTGCTAGTTTCACGACTAATTGTGGATTTTGATACAGGTTTTCATGGGTACGCTTAATCAGCTTAAAAACACATCCTTCCCATTCCTAGTCTGATAAGTTCTTTTTTTCAGTTTGCTAAGTTTTTATCATGAACAATATTCGTGATAAACTTTTTTTCTGCATCTCTTGAAATGATCTTACAAGGTTTTTTTCTTTTAATAGTTTAAGCTAGCTAATAAAATGTGTAGATTTTTCTAATATGCACATCCCTGAAAAAACCCAACTTGGAAATGGTGTACTATCTTTGGGATGCGTTTTTAAAATTTAGTTTCCTGATATTCTGTTTGGAAATTTTGTGTCCAACTTCATAACATTGGGTACAATTTTCCTTCTTCATACTATCCTTGTCTAATTTGGCATGAAAATTCACAAAGTAAATTGCCTGTGGGCAGGGCAGATACTTATTTATTTAATTACTTAAGGTGTCTTATAGGTTTAGAATTATATGTTCCATGAATATGAAGCTATCCAGTCCAGTTGTTTTGGGAGATGAAAAATTTTAAATACTAATTCAACACTTTATCACCATTAAAGAACATATATAAACATATAAGATGATTGCAGGTTTTTGCTTTTTATTGAGTGAGTTTTGTAACATTTTTTCTAGAAAATTGTCTTATTTCAGCTAGGTTTTCAACTATATTGGCATGAAAATATTAGATTTCTGATATCAACAATATCTGTAATTTCCTTTTATAATTCTTAACAGATTTCAGGGCTTCTATTTAGCTTATTTGCCTAATGAAGAAAGTTATTTTAATTATTTTCTATGGCCTGACTTTTAGTTTTATTGATACTTTCTATTGAATATGTTTTCTATTTCATTTTGTCTTATCTTTACTATTTCCCTGTATCTACATTCCTTCTTTTTCCCCTTCTACATCTTCCTTTTTCTTTCTTTTTTTTTATAAAGAGTTTATTTATTTATTTTTAGAGAGGGGAAGGGGAAGAGAAAGGGAGGGAGAGAACATAAATGTGTGGTTGCCTCTCACACACCCCCAAATTGGGACCTGGCCCGCAACCCAGGCATGTGCCCTGACTGGGAATCGAACCAGTGACCCTATGGTTTGCAGGCTGGTGCTCAGTCCTCTGAGCTACACCAGCCAGGGCCTTTTTCCTTCTTTTTTGATATTATTCTGTTGCTCTTATATAACAGGTTAACTCCTTAAGTTTCAAAATTGAAATATACTTCATGTACCATAAAATTCACCTTTTTAAACTGTAAAATTGAGTGTGTGGAAGGTTAGTTTTGAGTATTTATTACCTTTGTTTTTGATTGTGGAAAAATATACATACCATGAAATTTCTATTTTTAACCATTTTTATGTGTACAATTCAGTGGGAATATGTATATTTACAATAATGTGCAACTATCACCACGATCCACATCCAGAATTACTTCACCACCTCCAACAGAAATTCTGTACCCAACGAACAATACTGTTTATCACCTCTCCCCTCCACTCCTAGTAAACTCTATTCTACTCTCTGTCCATATGAATTTGCCTGTTTCAGGTACTTTCTTTAAGTAGAGCCATACAGTATTTGCCCTTTTGTTTCTGGTTTATTTCTCTTAGCATAATGGTTTCAAGACTCATCCACATTGTAGCATGTGGAAATTTCATTCCTTTTAAGGCTGAAGAATATTCCATTTCCTTGATCCATTTGTCAGTTGACAAACACTTGGGTTGCTTCTACCTTTTGGCTATTGTGAATAATGCTTCTATGAGCACTGGTGTACAAATATCTGTCTTCAGTTCTTTTGGGTATATACCTAGAAGTGGAATTGCTGCATCATATGGTAATTCTATGTTTAACTTTTTGAGGAACTGCCAAACTTTTTTATGGTGGATTAAACCTTTTATTTCTATGAAAAATGCACAGGGTCCTACTTTCTCATGCCCTCATGAACACTTACTTTCCATTTATGGTTCTTTGTCTTTATACTAGCTGTTAATAATGGACATAAAGTTGTATCTCATTGTGGATTTGATTTGCATTTCCCATTCTAATGTTTAGTGATGTCAAACATCTTTTCATGTGCTTATCGGTCATTTCTGTATTTTCTTTGGAGAAATGCCTGTTCAAGTCCTTTGCCCATTTTTTGGAAGTGGGTTGTTTACACTGTTGAGTTGTACAAGTTCATTATGTATTCTGGATATTAATCCTTTATCAGATACATGATTTACAAGTATTTTTTTCACTCTCTTGATAGTGCCCTTAGATTCACAAATGGTTTTGTTTTGATGAATCCAAATTATTTTTTCTTGTTACCTATGTTCTTGATGGCATATCTAAGAATCCATTGCCAAATCCAAGGTCATGAAGACTTATCCCTGTTTTCTTTTAAGAGTTCTAGCTTTAGACTTCCAGCAAGATGGAGGCATAGGTGGATGCACCGTACCTCCACACACAACCAAGATTAGAACAACAACAATTTAGAGCCAGAATAACACCCAGAACTGATAGAGAATTTATCTGAATGGAAGTCGGACAGCCAAGAAGTTGAAGTAGACCCGTTCATCCA